CCTGTGGTCCCAGCTACTTGGGAGGCTGAGGCAGGAGACTCGCTTGAGCCCAGGAGTTGGAGGTTGCTGTGAGCTGTGATGCCACAGCGCTCTACCCAGAGGAACAGCTTGAGGCTCCTGTCTCAAAAAAAAAAAAGAAAGAAAGAAAGAAAGAAAAGAAATAACAACTAGATAGAAAGGGATCAAATGCCTTCTGAAAGGCAACTCAGAGAATTGACAGAATTCTAATTTAGAGTAACAGAGGGGAGAGAACAGGTCAGGGTTGGTGCTGAAGACCCCACACAGCTACCTCTTAGCTGTGTGATCTTAAACTAGCACCTTATCCTATGCCCTGCCAGTTTCTTGAATGATCTAAGGAAGTCTCTTACCAGGCTCTGAACCATAGCAGGGACGGAGGGGCAGGGAGCAGGGCCGCGGGGACTCAGGGGGAACTGCTTCTCGTCCCAGGGGGCAGGGAAGACATCTTCTAAGGCGACTCAGGAAGTCTGTTGGTTCCTCTTGGACAGGGTTCCTGGGGAGGAGGACCTCAGAGAGTGACACTAGAGATAACCCCCTGCAAGAAGTTCCTCCCCCCTCTGTACCCCTCAGATGAGGACTTCTCTCTCTCCATCCCCAGGGACAAAGAATAGAGCCAGATATAAAGAAAAAAGAAAAGCCAAGACAAAGAGCAAAAATTAGAGAGGGACCTACTCTAAATGCATCCCACAGGGGAGAAAGGCAACTCCTCTTACCTGGGTGGGGTTGCAACAGGGGATCCGGCAGCCTCACCCCGCCTAAGAAAGGCAGCTAGAACCTTCAGCGTGTCTTCTCGGAGCCCCAGCTCTTCCGATCCTGCCATGGAGGCACCTGTGAGAGAGGGGGCTAGGGAGCTGGACTCTAGGGTTCAGCAACAAGTGGAAGACTGGGGGCTAGAACTTGTGAGTCTCAAGAAGGAAACGAGCTGAGGGCCTCGACTACTGGATCCTTTGAAGAGCTCCGGTCTGGGGGCCCAGACTCTCGAGTCCTCCGAGAGAAAAGGGATGAGAAACAAGGCCCCTTGCTCCTAGGAAAAGAGGGAGATGGGGGCCCAGGTTCAGGGGTCTAAAGGAGGAGGGAGCTGAGGTCTCGGACTTCCTAGTCTGAGATAGAAGGGGATTAGAGCCCCAGACCCTTGGATCCCCTAAGAAGAGGTCTTGAGGATTCCTGGATTCTTAAGGAGGCATATGCCAAACTTCTGAAGCCCTTAGAGCAATGGGAACTACCAATCCCAGCAAACTTCACGGCAAATATTCCCCTCTGTCCGCGCTTGTTTGCCGCACAGGCTTCTGGGAGGTGTAGTTCCAACTATCTGAGGCTGGACTCCTGCGGACCCTGGACACTTGGATGTCGGGGAATCGGAATGGGGGTGCCTGATCCTGGTTCTTGGGCCCCTTCTCTTTCCTCCTCTTCCTAATCTTGGCCAACACACTGCTTACCTGATCTGGGACCCCGCCGCCGCCACCTCCTTGACCAAATTTGTCCAAACTTTTATTAGTTCAACTTTCCCGCGCCTGCGCACTAGGCACGGGTTCGTAACTGCCCCAACGAAGAGGGGACGGAGAGCAGGATGCACGTCTAATTTGCATATGACGTTCCCAGCATGCCCGTTTCAGGAAAGCCCAAAAAGGGCAATAGGGAGAGGGCGGGTCCTGGCTCATGGGACCTCCCCTTTGGTTCTGGGGGTTGTCACCCAAAGGATGGTAAAGTTGCTTGTATTTCAAGAAATCGATCGAAAAGAACGCTCTCTAAAGTTCAGCCGCTAGGAAGGGGGGGGTGCCCAGCTTCGAGTTTGAGAGCTACCCGGATCGCAAAGACAGGGTTGAGCCCCGGCACCCTGCGCGCCCCATCTGTCGGCCATAGGTAACGCGGAAGAGCGAGGGAGATAGTGGCGTCCGGAAGTAAGGAACGGGAGCAAGGATGAGTCTGCGCTGCTAGTGGAAAGGGAGGCTGTATAGTCTTGGGAAAGGGAGGCAGGAGGGAGCTACAGTGACCGACCCTGGAAGCGTATATAGAAAAACTGTAGAAAGAGTACGGAGGGCGGAGAAAGAGAGGAAGCGTCTACACTGAAAGGACCTAGGAGAGGGAAGGGTGGACTCTGCAAATGGGAAGCCGTTCACTCTAAACAGTTGGGAGGTGCCCTGGAGGAGGGAGGAGGCTGGTTGTTTGGGGGGAATTGTGGATTGGGTTCCACGCTGGAAACAAGTAGAGGGATCTTCTCTGGGAGAACTGTAGCAGGGAGTCTACACTTGGGTAAGTGTAGGAGGTAGGGGTTTATGCGTGATTAGCGTCTGCATTGAAATAACTAGGGTGGCGCTACCTGTTTTAGTTGATGTGGGGGAGAGAGTAAAGGGTCTGCACTGAAGACGCGGGGGAACTGTCTAGTGTTTTTGGGAAGGAGTCCTCGCTGGCTAGGGAGACTCTCTGGACGATTGGGAGGAGAGGCGCTTTCCTATTTGTAGTCCAGGAAAAGATGGGTGAAAGACCTGCGCCGTGGCCCGTGAGAGGGAGGTCTGGGTCTGGAAATCTCAGGCCAGGAGGTCCCGGGAGGCTGCCTGCGCCCAGGAATTGCCCTGTGCGTGTAGGTGGGACCATGGGAACCCCAAAGCCGCGGATCCTGCCCTGGCTGGTGTCGCTGCTGGACCGGGGGCAGCTGGAGGGCGTGGCCTGGGTGAACGAGAGCCGCACACGCTTCCGCATTCCTTGGAAGCACGGCTTGCGGCAGGATGCCCAGCAGCAGGACTTCAGCATATTCCAGGTGGGCATATTCCAGATACTTGCGCCCTAGAGCGCGGGAAACCCAGAGCAGTGCCCTGGGCTGGATGGATTCTGAAGGGGTGGGGCCAAGGAGGCGGGATTAGTTCGCGAGGAGCTGGCTGGTACTAACATTGGTGGGTGGGGTTAGAACTGGAGGGGCGGGGACTTGCAGGATTGGTGGACTGATGGTGGGGCGCAGGCAGGTTAGGAGAAGCCTGCTTCTGGGAATAGAACTTGCAAAGTGCCCTTAGGACGTCAAGGAAATGCATCCTAGGGGTAGGGAACTCTCTCTGGGAGAGGCTTATGGTTGTAGGATTCTGGGGGTGGTTTTTGGAACATTAGAGCCAGACCCAGAGCCCCAAATCTGGGGTTATAGTACCTACCAAATTAGAATACAACAGTCATGGTAAACAAGACTGCGAGGGTGTGGGGTTAATACAGAGGGTGTCCGGGGACTGATGGTGCAAAGTAGGACCTGAAAGTGGAACTGAGGGTGAAAAAGGGTGGCAGGGAAATTTGCGGATGGAAGCTTGGCAGTTAGAACTTGCCAGGGGGAAAGGGCAGTGTTAGGAGTGGAGGAGGCAAGGTTAGGCCTCTAAGGATGGGATCCAAGTCATTTTTCCCATTACCCTAACACCACTGTTGTCCCAGGCCTGGGCCGAGGCAAGCGGTGCCTACACTCCAGGGAAGGATAGGCCCGACCTGACAACCTGGAAGAGGAATTTCCGGTCTGCCCTGAACCGGAAGGAAGGGGTGGTGCGGTTAGTAGATGACCGGAGCAAGGACCCTCATGACCCTCATAAAATCTACGAGTTTGTGACCCCAGGTGTGCCAAAGCAGGGCTTCTCCTGGAGCACTGGGATCTCAGAGTTCCCAGCATCCTTACCCCACTTACCACTTTTCTTAGCAGGAGGTGGAAACTTTTCCCAGCCCAACACTTTGCCAGACACTGGTGGTGGAGGCAGTACCTTTGATACTCAGGTGGGAATGCACCCATCCCCAGGGGCCTATTCAGGCCTCTTCCTTTCCTTCTCAACTATCACCCTGGCCTCCATTCTGTCCTCTACCCGACCTAAAGCTGACCCTGTCCCTCCTCTGCCCATGGCTCAGCCTTCTCAGAAAAAATTCAAGAGTTTTCATTGGGCATTTAAGGCCCTAATAAACCTTTCAGGATTTCATGGCTTTCCTCAGTTTGCAGGGTGCCTTCAGCATCTCAAAAACTCAAAACCTCCCTCTTTCAATCTTGCTGATGCCTGTTTCAGGGAAGTCCCCCTGAAATCCTGCACGGCCTGCCCTGCCCAGGTCTTGTTTGCAAAGAGCCAGACTATTGGTGGAATTAGCTACTCCCATGTGATGACAGCAGCTAGCATTCATTATACCATATATTTTGCTGTTAGTGCTAGTGACTAGCTCTGCTCCCAGACTGGAAGCCCCTTGAGGGCAAGCTCAGGTCTAACCACCTCTATGCACCTCCACATTGCTGTACACAAAGACTGGTCTACACAAAGTCTCCAGAAAAGGCTGTTAATGTCCAGCTCTTTTTTTCTTCCCCATCAGGAAGACATTCTGGAGTTACTGGATAGCATGGTCTTGGCCCCACTCACAGATGGAAAGCCCCCCAGCCTGGATGTGACTCCTGAGCCCCACTCTCAGCTCTTGTTGAGCCCCGACTTGGACAATTCCACTCCCTGCCCAAATTTGCCGCTTCCTGAAAACCCACTGAAGCAACTACTGGTGCCAGACGAACGTGAGTGTCAATTGTGTGTGGGAACGGGCTGAGGCTAGAATAGTGGTCCCACCCCTCCTCACACTCTTATCTCTCTCCCCCTTCACACCACTCTCTCTCTCTCTCTCTTCCCCCTTCATACCACTGCTCCTGCTGCTCAGAATGGGAGTTCGAGGTGACGGCCTTCTACCGGGGCCGCCAAGTCTTCCAGCAGACCATCCTATGCCCAGGGGGCCTACGGCTGGTGGGGTCCGAAGCAGCAGATAGGATGTTTCCTGGGCAGTCAATAACACTGCCAGACCCTGGGATGTCCCTGACAGACAGGGGAGTGATGGGCTACGTGAGGCACGTGCTGAGCCGCCTAGGCGGGGGACTGGCTCTGTGGAGGGTCGGACAGCGACTATGGGCCCAGCGACTGGGGCAATGCCACACATACTGGGCCATGGGTGAGGAGCTGCTCCCCAACAGTGGGCATGGGCCTGCTGGTGAGGTCCCTAAGGACAAAGAAGGAGGTGTGTTCGACCTGGGGCCCTTCGTGGCAGGTAAGTGAGGCGGGGGCTTCATTCTGCTGAGTGGAAAGCAGCAGGCCACCATGGTTAAGAACTCTGGGCTGGGCCGGGTGTGGAGGCTCCATGCCTGTAATTCTAGCACTCTGGGAGGCTGAGGTGGGTGGACAGCCTGAGCTCAGGAGTTCAAGACCAGCCTGAGCAAAAGTGAGACCCCATCGCTTTTAAAAAAAAAAAAAAAAAAGGTGGGCATTGTGGCAGGCACCTCTGGTCCCAGCTATTTGGGAGGCTGAGGCAGGAGACTTGATTGAGCCCAGGAGTTGGAGG